TAGGAGCAGGGATTCTTAGGTACTTGAGCTAGATGGAATTACTCTTCTCTAATCACCTGCCTTTTTCATCCTTTTTTTTTTTTTTTACTGACCGGCAACGGGATCGCAACCCTCGGTGTTGCGCCCGCACCGCGCTCAGCCAGTGAGCGGGAACCGGTCTCCACATGGGATCCGAACCCTCGGTGGGAGCGCCGCCACGCTCGCAAGCGGCGCACTCTCCAGTGCGCCACCGGGCCGGCCCTCACCTGCCTTTTTTATCCATCAAGTGCTCATTAGTAGTCATGGCTGATATAGGGAAATAAAAATGAAGCCCCCCAATCAGTTTTTGTTGTTTCTTGTCAGCAACCTAATAAAATGTTGAGTAGAAGATGAGATTGTAATTTGCCTAAAGATTAAAACTCCACAAATTTTTAATCAAGTGTGAGTCTCAACCCTCTGTAACTGCACAGATCTAATGGTGGGCCAAATCAGCAGGACAAGGCCCAGCAGCAGACTGGCTGGCCTCAGCACCATGGATGGCAGGTCCCAATCCACCCTCGCTTCTCTTTTCTGTTCCTCAGATGCTCCTCATTCTGACTGCCTTGCAGCCCTCTGTTTTCTCAATCTTGGCCAACGGTGGGCAGATTGCTTGTTCACCTCCCCTTTCCTCTAAAACCAGGTCTCAAGGTAAGCACATAAGGGCTCCTATCCCATTGTGGAATGGATGAAATGGGGGAGGGTCAAGAAAGAGAGGACATTAGAACAGAGGTTAGGCCAGCCTGACTTCTGCTCAGAATATTCAAAAAGGGATCTCCAAGAAATCCCAGCAGAGGAAGGAAGACTATGACCCCTCTGATCACACAGAGAACTGGCCTATCCTACAGCTTGAGGCCAGCCCTGATGACCAACCCAGGAAGCCATGGATTCAATCAAAGCCTGGGAGATGAATGGGTGTGGTTAGGAAGTGGAAGATCATGCTAATTAAACACACATAAGAATTGGGCTTTAATGCTAGCCTCAATCATAGAAGGTAGATTGCCAAATTCTAGCTCTGCCATTAACCTGCTGTTATTTATTACAATTCGGTATTTCTAGGTCCTAGTTTGGGGATAAATCAGAGAAAGTGTTACTAACTTACCTGTCAGGGCTGCTAGTGGGATATCAGCTCTATAACTTGTCATAACTTACATTATATGTCACTCCACACTGCAGTGATGAATTGCCACCTCCTCATACTGGAGTCTTTTCTGTTGACTGTGCTGACACGAATGTTCTACCGAAGGAAAGACTGCAAAGTTGGGTATGAAACTTTTTCTCCAGACTTGGACTTGAACCTCAAAACCTGACGTGGATGGCTTGGATAATGAAAGAACAGAGTATTCATTAGGAGAACACAAGATTTCTTCACTGTTCCTCAACTTAGACCAAATGGGGAAGGATTCCCACTGTCAGCACAAGTTGGCAGGTTATATTTGACTATAGAGATAAAGGAAAACTATACAATAGGATGAAATTGTTTTGGATTTTGCCTGGGGAAGGTATTTTAAGTTTTAAACTAAACAAACAGGATGAAGTCTGGAACTCTACAACTGGGCACATTGCCTCTACAGGTGCCACTATTAGCCCATAAACTATGTATTGAAAGGTCACTCGGAACTTTCCCAAAACAGGTGAAAGGAAGAAAAGTATATGACAGTGTGTCTGCCGTAAGAACAGGAATAGAACTTGACTAGCAAAGCATACCAGTCAAAAGTCCTGACGAAGCCGTGCTTCCGGAGAACAGATGGAAGGTGTTCTTTCCCTTACGGATGTGTCACTAGGGCCCTAATGAAGTTAGGCCTGGGAGGGTGAGGATCTGGATCAGCCTCCTTTTGTGGGACAATGGCTTTTGAGTCTTCTGGGCCAAGCTGCAAAAGGAATCCCCTGATAATATGGTCATGGAGGTTGATATCGAGGAGAGAAATTAGGATGCAAAAGCAAAGGAATTGAGAGTATCGGTAAAAGCTCTAAATACATAAAATGTATCATATGTACACCAGGTCAAAAACACAAAAAATGAAACATTAGGTAAAACCACATTGCCTTTATTTGGCTAAATGACAAAAGCCAAAATAACTCTGAGCAAATTAATAACATTCAGACAGGAAAATGAGAGACTGAACCCCCACTGAGGAAAACATCTCTGTGGACCAGCATTGGTGATGGGGCGAATATTCAAGCCATGGCCAGCAGTTCTTTCTAAGACCCTTTTTTCTGTTCAGGATCCTCAATACAAAACAACCCAACCAATCGTCTCTATGTTCAAAACAGTCAGTGCCTCCCCTAAAGAAGGGTAGGGTGGCCCACTTTAAATCTAAAGAAATACAACCTGTGTCATCCTAATATTAAACCTGGTGCTTTTGTTTTCTACCCCAATTCGAATACTAACATAAAACTTCGACAGAAAATCTTTCTTCTTTCTTTTTAAGAAAATTAACATGTAATAGTACAATCCCAAGAACATGTTCTATTTATTTATTTGGAAAAATAGAAGATAGGAACCACTCTTTATCTCATGACAATCTATTCTGTGAGAGAAAACAAGATCATTGTTATGACTTTGAAAAATATATCCTTTAGAAATACTTAAATTTGTAAGCTTAAAAAAAACACCATTAGTTAAAAACACTGTTAAGGGAGCTTTTTTCCTACCTGTATTGGTTAAACTTCTGGTGAGAGTGTAGGCTGATGGGAAAACCTAGAAGCTATGGCTTTTAGGGATTTTTTTTAAAGCAGCAAAATATAACTGATTTGGAAAAGTTTTAGATAAGGATCTGGAATAGGATTAAAAAGGCAATGAGCTTCAGAAAATAAGCTACCCACAAGTCAAGATAATCCAGAAATAGAATAACAAAGCACTGTAAAGAACTGTTGTGGAGGGAATATCTAGAGACCGCCTAATCAGCTGTGTGGCCACAAGTAACTCAGCCTAAGCAGTTATCAGTGATCAGAAAGGGTCGAAAGTTTTCTCAGCCGCCCTCACATTTTTCCTCTTCCTCAGGATTTTCACCCTCCTCACATCCCCAACCTTCTTACTTAAACCTACACAAGATAATAGTCTTTGGCTCTAGCTATCAGAAGCAGCTGCAGCAGTACAAATGATCCATCTCTATTCCTCTAAAGTTTCAACCTCTATTCTTCAGTGCTCCTGACTCTAGCACATGAAAAGAGCAAACTGCCTGCCCAGCCCACATCAAGGTAGCTACCGAAATGGTACCTCCTCAGCACTGCTCACAGGGCTTCTGTCTTCAGCCTCCTTTTTTCTTGCAGTCAGAGGCTCTGAGGCCAATCAACTTTTAAGGCTCTCCCATCTCTGCCACATTTGGCCCATCCACGCTGACTGCCCTCTTGTGTGGGAGTATGGGAAACAGCTGCACAGCCTCAAACATCAATATTGGAAGATTTACAGATCACAGCTATGGTCATGGTATACAAATCTCTAACCTCATTTAATTAGGCACAAATGATCAAATAATGTATCATTCCAACAGTTTTCTCCATCCACCCATCCTTGCCTAGCACCTAGGATCACATTTATCTCAAACATGTCATGTTATAAACGTTTTTGCTTTCAGTCAAAATTATTTGAAAATATACTAGTGTTGGGAGACTGAGACAGTAGAAGCTCACCCAAAGGGCTGACGGAGTCTTCTAAGAACACATTCTATTCTTGTCAGATAGAGGTCCTATTCCAAACACAGGGCATGACAAAAGCAGCCCGCTGAGAGCAGAGGAGGAGGGAAGGCTCAAACACGTGAGACCCAGACAATAAACTTGAGATGAGTGACTGCAGGGAGGAAAACCACATTGTGGGCATCTCCCTTCCATTCAAATACACTCGGGTAACGTGCACTTTGAGGAAACAAGTAGGTGCGCTTCAGCAGTAATTTATCGCCTTTCTCTGCCAAGGAGAATAAGTCAGACAGAAACAGGCAGAATTCCCAAAGAGAGGTGACTAAAGCAGAAAAGTTAAAATATGAAGTCATATGAAGTTGGGTAATGTGGGAAAACATTAATTTCAACTGCTTCAGAGAAAGGATTCTAAGCCAAAGCTTTTGGGAATCAGATTTGACACTAAAAATAGCAGTTCACAAGAAGAGTCAGAAATGTAGTTTTTCATGGGCCATGAGAACAACCAGAGGTTTCCCCTCTCTGTCCCTCTCCTCTGCCATGCTCTGTCTCTCTGGGTGAAGAGAGTTTTAAGAATCTAGGGAGGCAGGCAGTGATTCTAGCCCCTTATCTTCAGGCAGAAGAGGTTTGATCAGAAAGTTTTTAGGGAGGGGACTATGAGGTGCTCACTGTCCTAGCAGAGGGGCAAAAAAAGAGAAAATGTCGTTTTCTTAGCTGAAAACATGAAAACTCCACCCCCACAAGGGGTATTTATGAGTGACAGGGGTGGGTCCTGGACATAAGCAATATTCCCTGAATCCACTTACAGGATTACTGATGGTCGATCTGCTAGGTCATGTAGCAGATAGAAGGGGGGGGGGGGGGGTAAATTAGACCATGTTCAACAGCAACTGTTAAGCTTCAGCATTCTTTGACTTGATATTCAAGTGCTGAATCTCGCTGGGCAACCTAACAGGGGATGTGGGACCACAACCACCAGGTACATGTGAGAAAGGGAGACAGAACCTACCATGCTTATGGGCCTGCTGGAGGAATGGAGGGCAAGGGAAGTAACTGGCAGTTGCAGCTCTCAAAGGAAGACAAAAACATTCTGTGGAGCAGTGGATCCAGTTAAGAACATTCTTAAGAGGGGTAGAAATCAAGATAAGGTTGTTGCTTTAGAAAGGAAAGTGTTTCCTTATGCTTTTGCCTCTACGTTTGGCGCAAATCTCTCTAAATATTCACGATGGCTATGAGCAACATGTATTAACAGATCAAGTTCAAACTGCAGACATTTACGAAAATGTAAAAAAGCTGGATTAGAAAGGAAAGTGTTTCCTTATGCTTTTGCCTCTACGTTTGGCGCAAATCTCTCTAAATACTCACGATGGCTATGAGCAACATGTATTAACAGATCAAGTTCAAACTGCAGACATTTACGAAAATGTAAAAAAGCTGGATTAAAAGCACTGAAACAGGAGTAGCAGGCCAGGGACTTACTCCCAGCAGGAAATGAATCTAAACTGACTTTATATACAGGATTGAGTATTGTCCCACTCTTCTCAATCACAGTAACCCTAGAAGTGTTCCTTTCTTTAAAGGCAGATTGCAAAAAAGACTGATGAGAGCTCCCAAATAACTGGGCAACAGAATTTTCTGAGAAGATGAACACAGCAGAAAAACCGCAGTAGATGCCATGTGGTCTGGTTCTATCCCCATCAGTATCTTCATGGACCCCATTGGGTCCAACAAGAAACTCCTCAGGGAGTAAGAAAAGTTAGGCTCAGATCTCCTTCTTCCCACAGCTACACTGACACATGTGCCAGCAGTATATTTAGGGGCTTTGTGACTGTAACTCAGCTCTAAGCTTTTTTTACGGGAACCAAACTTAAGATATTCCCTACAAATCACCCATCAGCATGGCTCACTGCTTGAAGGACTTGGCAAGCCACTTTGCTTCAGAGCAGAAGGCAAATACTATAATGTATCAGGGAGAAAAGGCCTCTGGGTATTACATCACTTATTTCTTCTGCCCACTCCTCAGGGGCAAAAAATTAGTTTGACTTATTCTATTTGAGAGACTAATTTTTAAAAAATTAATAAAAATGACAATTTCCCTGTCAGGATCACATAAACATAAACAGTAAAGCAAGTCCTTGAGGAGGGTAGATGCAGAACAGACCCCCTAAGGTATAGTCAGCCTTCTTCTTGGTGTGGGTGATTAAAGTCTCTTGGAGGACAGGCTGTTTTAGTCCTCCCATTCCTAGGTCCTCTTGTCCCAATCGTCTTTCCTTTGTAGATGTCCTCAGGTTTAGTGCTAGGATCACAATTTGGAATTCAACAGAGAGCTTCTGAAAGTGATGGGACAGAGGGAAGGGAGAGAAAAGGAGGCATGAAAACTTAGTCTTCTTCATCCTCACTGATATCATAGGCTGCAGCTTTGTGCCTGGAGAGATTTGCTGGGGAGGAAGATGGGGAAGTCTTGCCAGAGAAGGGCCATCGAAAAGAGGGAGAGGGGGAGCGTTCCCGAGTAGGGCTGCTGCTGGGACTCTGCCTTGGACTGATGGCTTGCAGCATCCGGCCTTTCCCCTCTTTCAGCATATGTTTCTGAGGAGACCAAAAGTAAGAATTAGAAGAAACCTATGGATCCTACTAAATTACCACTGGAGCATCTGTGACTTCAAATGATCATAAGTGCAATCTGCAATGTTAAAACTGAATAAGCCAGAGGAGGGACATAGCTATAATTCTAAGCAATTTCCTCCCTAAAGTGACCTATGCTATACTATTTATTTAAGGGTTCCCACCTGCTATCCACCAATTCCTTGAGTTCTATGTCAAAGGAATTCTTAGAAGGCTACTTAATTTGTAGTCAAGTTTCCAGGCAAAAACAAAGGAATAACTCAGACAAAAGGGTTCCTAGCCCAGTTTTAGAGTTATCTGAAAAAGAAATCCCACATTCTTCCTGAATAATATATTCTAGTATCCAAACACCCTTACAGTCAGATCCTTCCTGATATCTAACCTAGGGCTCACTTGCTGGATCTTTTATTTGGTTTGAAAAAACTCTGCTACTCTCCTAAGAACAGAATTCCCAGTTTACCCAGGGATCCTGCAGCAGCTATTTGTAGTGGAGGCAGCTTTCTTTTTACTATTCTTTATTCTCACCTTTGCTTCTATGTAGAACTATAATATGGAAATAAGATGGGTAAGGCTACTCGCTTATCTTGTCACCACATTTCAAGGTTGACAGAGAGCTGGCAAAATTATTTAGGAGAATGTGTAACCTCTTTCTGAGAAGATTTCAAGGATGATGTCTCTGTCTGCTCAAGGATTCTATAATTCTTTCCACAGCATTGAAATTCTGTGAATTTCCCTGAAATTCCCTAAATGTCCCATGGGAAAGAACATACCAGTGCTCCTTCTGGACCAAACATTTCCAGGAAACTTCCAATGAATTCTCGGGACTTCTCTTCCCATTTCTGAATGAGGTCAATGCTTTTTTCCTCCACCTTCTGAACAAATTCTTTTGACTTTTCCTCCACATCTTTCACTTTCTTCTTTACTTTGTCAACCCGTTCCTGCAAGTGGTATTTCTTCTCCTAGGTAAAGAAATAATTGTTTTGAGAAGTAATACTCATCTTGACCTTCCCTACCAAAGAAAAAACATGGCTCAAGCACTCTATTGATACCCTTTTTATTTATTTATTTTTTTATAGGAAATATTTTATTTCAAAAAGTATTGATGGCATCCTAAAGCCTTAAACAGGATTCTGGACATGTTAGCCTAGAGAATGGACAAAAATAAATACACAAATTTGCCCCACCCTCTGGAGTGGGACTGGACGTTGGACACCACAGAAAGAGTGTCCTTTAATTATATGAGTTTCTGAAGTCATATAAATATAGAATATGTTATAGTAACAGATAAGCATTAACTACTAGTCACTGAGTTTTCATAACTTGTCTTTTAGACAAAGTTCTGCACATGTAATACGTAGGAATAGTACCATCCCCAGGAGACCCAGCATCTGTCCCAAAGTCAGTATAAAGACAACTGTCAGTGGTGGAGATATTACAGCCCAGAACCCATGTCAAAGGGGAAGTGGGGGCGGGGTGGGGAGTGGACCCTAGCTGGGTTGACACTTTTTTTAGTTTTTAGAATTTTTCTTTGCTTTAATATACCCCACATTTCTTTAGCATAATAAATGATAAAATATGCTCTAGATGGTGATCTTATACAAAAATGTGATAATTCTAATACAGCAGAAGCTTGGGACTAAACTAAATATACAGGCTAGGCCCAGTAACAGGCAGTCATGTAGCCAATGAAGTCAGATTTTTTAAAGACGAAACATAAACTTGGAACATAAACATGGCCAACACGACCTAAACTTCATTCTAGATGGAGATGTACAGGTAGCAACAAGATCACTGAATAATACTGCCAAGAATAAGCCAATTATAATAGATTGAAAGTGCAAGTACTAGATTTTATACTTAACTAATTAACTGGATTTTCCACCCCCCCAGCCCCACATCACTGGCTTATTCTATTATTTTAGATAAGTTGTGTGTTTTATTTTTTAGTATTTGGAGGTCCGTTCACTCATTCACAAAATGGAGATGATACTCTTTGGTCCTACCAACTTCCATAAAGATAAGTGAAAAACGGTATGAACCCTCTGGTGGGGGAGGCAGGGGAGGATGTTTAGTCAAAATGAAAAGTATTCTCAAAATTTCCACATCATGAAGAGGAAAGGGAATATGTTTAGGGTTTTTAAATACCCAAGTCTTAAGAGAAATAGATAAAGATTCTTTAGTAGGTAAATTAACAGCAGCTATGGTTTATCTGCATAGATAAATCATATTTAGATGAAACCATTTCTCCTATTCTCATAGCATAATTCACTGTGTTGGGAGCAGGTGAGGGAGCATGGTAAACTGATTACATAGAAGATATAGTTAGCAGCTTTCTTCTTATTAAATCAACTTTATTAAATACTAGTCATTAATTTATAATATAAAATGTGTACACTTTCTAAAGGGTAATATGAAGCTAAGATAAACTTAAGCCTTCACAAATCCAATTTTAAAATTTAGGTCCATGTGGGGAAACTGTATGCAGAATGTTCTGTGTTACTATTCACACAGTGAGAGTTTCATCAGATTTTCAAAAGACCATCAACCAAAAAAAAAAAAAACCAGTTAAGAGCAACCATTTAAAATGTATTGATAAAAATACCTTACTATATAAGTTATGCATTCTTATTTACGAAGGTACTTCAAAAAGTTCGTGGAAAAATAGAATTAAAAGATATGAATCTTTTCACAAACTTTTTGAAATACCCTCATATTTCATTGGCTGTGTGTCCTTATATCAATGTGTTGATACCAGACTGTAAGGGCAAAAACTGCCTCTGTTTTATTCTCCTTGTAAAGAGCTTAGCATAGTGTTACCTGCAAACAGGCATTCATTGAGCTTTGAGGAGTGATAATTACAGCAGACTGAAAAGCAAGTTTAGCTCAAATGCAGTGGAGGCAACTTATATCCTACAGAGCCAGGGAACTCTGGGATGAGGTTGGAACTCACATTGATAAAGCTGACATTGAGCTCCTTTGCTGTGTAGCCCCTTTGTAGGTTCCGTCTCGCATACACATCATAGTCACGGACAATCCGGGTGATGATGTCTGATGTGGAGATACCTTCTGTCCTCTGTGTTGGAGCAAACATGCCTAACTCAAGAACACATACAGAGAGAGAGAGAGAAAAAACACATACAGACAAACACTGTGAAGTCCTGGTTAGTTCAGGCAGTAGGACTAGATGGAAACTGGGAGCAACACTCTTTTCCTTTATTCAAAAAGCAGAATCTGTTATTACTAAGTAAAGTCTAGAGATACTCACATACAGAAGGAGGACTGAATCAAAGGTTAGGGGTAAGGAAGGAAGGCGCTACATGGCCTTAATATTAAGAAAAATATGGGACTGGGGAAAGGTTTCCTGAAATTAAGAGAGATATCAAAAGTAGATGTTTAGACCAAGAATTGATGGATGTAAGTGCTATGTTCATCTTTACCTTTTATCCAGTGTGACCTGAAAGAGGATGTTGAATTTCTGAGTATACAAAGCTTCCTCTGTAAAGTAGTGATGAGGCTGAATCTCTGTGGCTGCCCGTAAGACTCATAGAGTGAGGATGCACATCAACTTACTCACCTGCTTCCTTGATGTGCTTATAAACATCATCACTCCCAGCAGAAGAATAAGGGATATCATCATGGGCTACAAAGTCAATCTGAAAATAAGGAAAATATCATATAAAACCCAAGATGACTGCCATTTGGAAAGACACGGTCAATATTTTCAGGCCCAGAAAAAGGATAATAAGCAGAGGCCAGGCCTCAAACGGACGTTTTCTACATATTTCTCTTTGCTTTGCTCATAAAATCCACAATCCATTCACAAACCACTCAACCTATTTACAGATTATAAAAATGAAGTTTAGCCAGTTTCTTTTCTAGCTATTTTTCCTAATCGACTGGAAGTGCTACTCTCACTCTGTATATCAGTCACCACACTGGTCAAGAGGGCTAGAGGATTTGTTGGTGAGCTAGTTAGTGGGTGCAGCCTAGGAAAGAAGGGACCTCCCTCGTCTCCTGGGTCTAAAAGGATTGGTCAAATAAAGGTTTCTAAAAGTATGAGAAAGAGGTCACTTCTTTGTTAACTGGTTTCTCTCTCAGTCCATGAGAAATGGGGAAACACAAAAATAGCAACCAAGAGCCTTTTCGCTGGAACAGACACATCTGTATTCCTGAGAAATGCAAAACCCAAACTCATAAAAGACCTTCAGGTCTCAGTATCTATCTTTTCATTACTATCAATACCCTTTGCAAGAGTGAAAAGAGATTAATGGCACTGGGATCAATACTCTTTTTGAGAGACATGCTAAACCTCACTTATTTACTCCTCCCTGAAAAATCCATAGGCCTTTTGCTAATATAATTACTAACACCACTATACCCAACTCCCAGAAGTCACTGTAGTGTGAAGCATGCTCATCAGGACAGGGTAAGGATTCTCAACTAACATCTCAATTACCCATGAACAACTTGTCAGGAATTCATAGGCAACAAAGTAAAGAATGGGGGATAAGCAAGACTCATGGTTGCGCATAAGCTGCTAACAAGGAGAAAAGGGAAGTAGGAAGTACCTCTAGCTTCATACTTCCACCTGGGCCTACCTGGCTGTGTTGTTAAGAATAATCTTGCCTATCAGCTCTGGTGCCACTGGCTGGAAGTATTGATGTTAAAAAACTACAGAACTATAAAAAGTCTGTCCTAATCCTAAATAGTCATTAACAAATATCCCCTGGCTTCAGGCCTACCCAAGTATTGCTTTAGAAGCACTTTGGCTCCTTTTGTTCTTTCCTGCCTCACTGAGCAATTCACCCGCAACATTCCACACATCCCTACAGAGAACTGACAATATGCTTGCTGGTTCCTCAAGCTTGAGGGCCTCCAACCTGGCCTTATAAATCCTTCTCATCTTTTATACGCACCTTTTACAGGAAACCTGTTTCTTTAATGTGGGTGAACTAAAAAGAGGCAAGGGGTTTTATAATAACTCACCAAATAAAAGTGAGAAACATCCTTGATTTCTGATCCCACACAATTTCTAGTCTAAAATCAAAGCCCGGAAACTAAATTTAAGTCAACACAAGAGAAGTCTATGTTAATCTGTCTAGTTTCCTGGAATATGAACTTCTTGAGAGCATGGCTGGGGCTATGAATATTCTAAAGAGACTGGCATGCTGTAACAGTGGACCTATAGTGGAGGGCGAAAAAACACAACTGAAGAGTTCAGTTCCTAGCACTGCTGATGGTATAATGTGGAGCATGTTATTTGGTTTCTCTGGCCCTTGTTCCTTATATGTAAAGTGAAAATAAAAACTATTCCACAGGATTATTATGGGGAGCAAATAGAAAATAATGGATACAAAAGTGCTTGTAAACCATCGAACCCTATATAAATGTCAAGGATGACTACTGTTATTCATAATATCACTGTCATTTCCTCTATGTGAAACTTACATAGAAAGTAGAAATAAAATATGGCTAGTGGAAAACTAGCCATAAAGCTAGTTTTAGCCCAAAGCTAAAAGAGAAAGGAAGGAAGGAAAGAAAGACCACAATAGTGCCATGGTCTTACAGAGGGAGGGAACATTCCTAGGGCTACAAATTGGAGTTGGGAGGAGAGAAGGAGGGAGAGGGAGGTTGGGGGATAATTGGGTGGGGACAAGGGGTACAACAGTAATTTCTGGTAATGGGTATGCCCCCAGTATGAATCTGGCCCTCAAAAAAAAAAAAGAAAAGAAAAGAAAACTAGCCCAAGTGCCAGAAGCCTTGAGAGTTGAGGGGATTCTGGAACAAGGAAAGAAGACATGTGACCGATCACTTACCTGGTGTTCTGCCAGGAACTCAGGTGTCAGGGTCCAAGGGGCATTCCTCACCACTTCATCCACGTAGCGGCAGTGCTGCACTGCATCATAGCGCTCATTTTCATTCATCACCGTGAAGCCTTTGAAGTTGTGTGTTAGCTCATCACTGCAGACTAAGTTTACCACACCATAAAGTTGTAAGTCAAGGTCCCATTTGCTTAACCACTCCTCAATTACCAACCTCTCCCATCTCCCACTTCCTAGAATTACAACCATCCTCCCCATCTAGAGAAAAATTTTCTGGATATAGCTAAGTCTGGGCAACAATGCTTTTTCTATTCAAGAAACATCTGCAGGAGCAATACTTACTAAAGAGTATGTCTACACTTTGGAGAAGACCACTATACAACAGAGAACTAAGATGCTTGACTTTGCAGTGAACCTACTATGCATTTCTGCATCAATTAAGCTTTTAAAAATGTTTTCCTATTTTATTTTTATAAGATTGGACTGGACCACATAACATTTGCTTGGCAGACTTTTGTTATTCAGTTGTTCAAAATGATAAACTCAAATCTAGAGCAAATGTGGTTCCTAAGTGTGCAAATGGGTCAGTGTTTCTCCCATGACTACAGAAATTCAACTAAGAACAGTGGGATAAATACTGAACACCTCAGGTCAATGAGCTTGGAACTCCTCTCTCCAGGTTTAGGTTGCTAGTACCTCATATGCTTCATGTTTTAGAGAGGCTGTACTATATCCTTCATTTAAAAACTAAACCAAGGGCCAATGTACTCAGGTTATAAAGGTAGGGGAAATAAAAAGACCAGTCTTTTGCTGGATGATACCTAAAGTCATCAGATGTTTTCTTACCTCCCACAATGAGGTATGTATTAGGGAAAAGGTTCTTTGCTTGCATCAGAGCCCGGGCATGACCAGAGTGAAATAAGTCAAATATTCCATCTGCATAAACTCTCACAGGCCGTTCACCTGAATCCAAATGAAAGAATTTATCACAAAAATACATTTATTCAATACCTCCTATTTGACAAATGGTAATGGCACTGTGTGACTGTTCCATTCCTGCATACCCCTCTCTTAAGGTGTTCTATGAGTATTCAACCTAATTTGGGGGGTGGATTAGGGCTGTGAGAAATAACATCACAGAATTCCTTGACTATAAAGACCCTCTTCACATCATCACCACTAACTCTCGTTGTTAGCCCAGTTGTACCAAATTTCTCAGGTACACACACCCACAAAAGAATGATTGATTTTCCTTAAAGTTATTTTAGAAGTGAAAGGGAAGAGTTATTCACCAGATATATGTCCTGGATTTCAAAATCCTTATCTTCAGTTTATGATTCTTCAGTTATGCTTAAACAGAGTATAGTCAAACTTTACTCTGGCTGCTTGCTCTCCCATTTTCAAACTGCCTTGATTACTAATAACTAATGCGTGGTTTTGAAAATAAACCTCCCTACTATTTCCTGGAGGGTAAGAAGTGATCCAAAGGGGTGAGACTGAAAAAGAGGGAGGGTGAGTACCTAAGTAGACCCGTTATCCATTTATTGCTTCTCAGCCTCAGAGTCACCCCGCTCTGTGGTAACAGAATTCCTTGAAGCATTTCTCCTTTGTAGTGAGCATAATGTTAAGCTTCTCAGTAGAGGGTGATATACTAAGTATTTGAAAATCAAATATAAATACTTTAGGACTTTTCATTATAGCTTTTCCTCTTCTCCTCTACATTAGTGAGAATAATAGAGAACTGATTGTCAACTTATTTTTACTGGTAGTGGCCTATGAAAGAGAAGCCAGTAAATGATCTCTGGAGTACAAGACTAATTCCAAAGCCAAAAGAAACACACACTGAGAATAAAATTGACATAATGTTTCATCGTGCTTGAAATGATGAACCTAAGGAGTCCAAGTAACTTATTCCACTATGTGAATAAAGGAAGCACTATCTCTCTGTAGCAGCAGCAAATAATAGCAGGAGCATCGATGTCACTCTGGGAATGAAGAGCCAGAGCCTCATCAGATATACCACACTGAGGGTGGGGATAAGATATCTCCTTCCTGTCATAAGGGCAGTGAATCAAGGAGGAGGAAATTGTTTCTCAGGAGGTTTATGGACTTTTCTTTTCAAATAGCTTTATATACAAAGAAGTAGCTTTTAAACCAAGAAATCACACATTGCTGATAGGAGTATTAGTAACTTTTAAGAAGAGCAATTAGGTAATCTCTATCAAAAGACAAATGACAAATGATTATACTCACTTCAGCCCAGCATTCCAATTCTAGGAATTTATCTCACAGTTATGAATATGTGCTACTCATTGTGGCATTGTTTGTAATAGAAAAAGCCTGGGAACAACTTAAATTTCAATGGAAGACTGAATATACAATAATATACCCACTAAAAGGTGGGAGGATATATAAACTACTTAGCCACAAGAAACTGGTTATACTGGTTGCCTGTAAAAGGGATACAGGGTGGCTATGAGATAGGTGTTCAGAAGAAGATATATTACTTTATGCCCTTTTTGTACTTTATGGATGTTAAACCATGGGAACATATTGATTTTATAATACGGGAAATAAAATTTTATTTAGTTTTGGCAGCTGGCCAGTACGAGGCTCCAAACCCTTGACCTTGGTGTTCTAACCAACTGAGGCAACTGGCCAGCTCAAAATTTTAAAATAAAATAAATACACCAATACTATGAAAAACTGAGAAATAATATGATAGATTTTAGAGTCAGCCAGGTTATAGCTCAAGCTTGTCAACCAGCTTCCTTCGTGACCTCAACCTCTTTAAGCCTCAGTTTTCTCATCAGTAAGACAAAGCAAAATAAAACAAAATCTGAGCAGTATAATCCCTCTTCTATATCCTAGAAATCATGACCATGAAGTAACTAACTTACTTCCATTTTTCCTAAACAAGTCCAGAGGAGTTATGATCTTTATTTTATCCTAAAAGACGAAGGATAGAATATAAAAATTAAGAATATTTTGTTGTTGTTTCTTTGCTATTAGTGTACAGCAAGGGCAAAGCAAGACCAAGGAGATTTATCTCAGGAAACACATTGCCTGGTATTATGGTGGCAATAGCATAGAATGCTGTTGTTCAAGTGGCTGTTTGCCAGCGCAGGTAATCATCCCATATTAGGCCAAGTGCATCACTAAACCCTTTCTCAGATGTACCTTCCGCCTTCTCAGTGTTTCCTCAGTCTCCCAACATCTCAATTCCATATGACTTAACCCCAAGTCTTTGGCAAACTCAGGCAGGTATATTAACCAAATGGCCAGAAGGGGCCACTGTTGAACTAGTCCAAGGAGAAAGCAAGCATTAGCCATTCTTTTACCAATTGGCTATTGGCCCGGAAAATCACACCCCCTGGTTTACATCTGTTGTCTCAGCATATTATTAAGTGCAAGCCCCTTTCACTCTAAAAATTGTCCTAATTTGGATTATAAATTATATGGTTGCACTACTACTGGCTCAGTAACAAGATGTCCTTCTTTAGGCAGAACAAACCTGGGTTTCAATTTATTGCCCCTTTTGATAAATGCTCCTAAATATCTAATACTGAAACGATTTTGTCCCTAATAGATTTCCATTGCCCTTCAGACTCTCCCTTTTTCTTCCTTTCTCTGAGTGAAACATATTGCTGATTTTTTTTTTCTATCTTCCAAAAGATTCCCAGAGCTGATCTCATCTCTCAAGTCATATTTGTTCTTTCTCTGGATAGAGAATTTTCTTTTAGATTTTACAAACTCCCCTCCTGAACTTCTTTAACCAACCTAGTGAAAGAAAACTGGGTGGTGGGGGGTGCCTCTTGTACCAGTTATTGGTTTAAAATTCACTAACTATGGCAAGTACAGATTCCTTATTGGTTTATTCCTTGTCCTGCACCGGCATGAATACAGTCAGCTACTTAACAGAACAGACAGAATGAAATGTAAGAGAAAACCCAGAAATCAAATTAGACTGGCCAGCTTTATAGGCTAATTTGTGACTGTTTGTTCCACCTAAAATGCAATCATTTTGCTTATGGCCTTCTACTGTTTATAATTAATATCTACAAAGAGTAACACCACTCCAGAGTGAAAAGAACACAAAGATAGAGAAACCTAGGTTTTAGCTCTAATTCTATCACTAATTATCTGTTTTACTGTAGCGGAGCCTTCACTTTTTAGTTTCTATGGATCTTAATTTCCTCATGTATATAATGAAGGAACTATAAAATAGATAATCTCAAAAATGACTTACTTATAAAGTTTTATTCTAAAATTTTTAAACATTAGATTTATTAGTCAGTGCTTATTAATTATAAGCTTCAAAACTTGGGAACAGTACACATATTTTCAACTTTCAGGTATCGCAAATGGTATGTGGATAAATTAGCAACAAGCTGGGTAATGTAACCAATGTGATCAGATCTGAGTGAGGTAATGAATTCTGAATGTGTGAGAGTACATAAAAAGTTCTTGCCTTCATCAAGCTTTACTATCACATCTGAATGTGAAGCCTGAACTTTCTGTTGGCATTTTGAAATTTGACCTGCCAGCATTACACACTGTTACATACAGACTCTGATTTTCCTTGTTGTCATTTTATGCTGCCACCATTAGCCTATTATTCAAATAAGGGGAGCCAAACTCAAAAATCACATCATGAATCAGAACAGTTGTGATCAACATGAGTTATATCTGAACATTTTCCCAAAAGGAAATCATTCTCTGGAATTAGTCTTTTTTTTTTTTTTTTTTTTGAGGACCCCAAAACCATAATCCACATAGCTAAGATACAGGCAAGGTGTATTGAGATCCTTGGCCTGACACCATCCAAAATCATTTCTATTCATATTTCACTACTCCTCAGTTATAACAGAGAGTAAACATACTAACACAATTCAGAAGTAACTACAAATATATTGTATATACTAGAAATGTATGGATTTGTGGCTATAACTGCCTCTTATACCATGGTGTTTGCCTGGGTCTAAGTCTAGCCCTACATTGACAGAGTAGAGAGAACACTTACCATAGTAATCAGAAGTGAAAAAGGATTGAAAAAAACGGAAAACTGAAGAATTTACAGAGAAGTAAGAACAGTTGCCTGTAACACTTTGTATTCATAACAAATGCTCATGGAAGTTTCTACTTATGGTGAGCCCTAAAACCAACTACACCAAACAGGAAGAGTATCCAGAATACATATTAGATAATTCATGTGGTCAAAAACTGCTAATCAATGATGTAAAGTCAGCATACAAATAAAGAGCATGTGCTTTAAAAATAAAGTCTTTACAAAAAACCTGAAAAATTAAAACAACAGTAAAGATAAAATTAAGTGATGAGCATCTCCCAACTTGTGGTATTTTTGTCCTCTATCAATCTGCAGCATCATTGCTGACTGATAGAATGTGGGAAGATTGTGGGGGAAAATCTATAAAAAATATGATAGCCTGACATATTATTTGGAAAACTAGATAAGATCATAACCCAGCTCAGGCTAATATCTTCCTGTCTCTGCTCCACTATAGTTCATATCTTTGACATTAGCCCAGGAAGAAAGTAGTACCACTATACTTCATAGCTATGACAACAGCCTGGGAAACAAGTATATAATAATGAGAAAAATATGAAATTTTTTTTTTTCCTTTTTGTCTCTTTTTTTGTGTCCGGCAACGGATCGCAACCGTCAGTGTCGCGCCCATACCGGACCGGGACCGGCAACGGGATCACAACCCTCGGCGTTGCTCCCTCCCCTCGCTCAGCCAGTGAGCGGGAACCGGTCTGTATGTGGGATCTGAACCCTTGGCGGGAGCGCCACCGCACTCCCAAGCGGCGCACTGTAGCAGTGCGCCACCGGGCCGGCCCAAGAAAAATATGAAATTTTATTTTTATTTATTTTTTTTTGTCTTTTTCCGTGTCCGGCAACGGATCGCAACCCTCAGTGTCGCCCCCGTACCGGACTGGGACCGGCAACGGGATCGCAACCCTCGGTGTCGCCCCCGCGCCTCGCTCAGCCAGTGAGCGGGAACCGGTCTGTATGTGGGATCCGAACCCTCAGCGGGAGCGCTGCCGCGCTTCCCAAGCGGCGCACTAGCACAGTGTGCCACCGGGCCGGCCCAAAAAATATGAAATTTTATAGAATGGAGTTACCTTCCCAAATAGAACATCGAGGTAGGTGGGAGGAACTCCTCCTCCCCACCTGCCTTTATAAGTACTGAGGGATGTACATACAGAGTTGGTATGTATTTGATAAATACAGTGGAATGCTAAAAGCAATAGTAAAACAACAAAATAATTAAGTAGGTATTTACTTACAAGGAGTTCCCTTGCTGGCTTCTTCCAGAGTTACCCTGACATATGGCTTACTAAAATCAACTTCAATTTCATCAGAAAAAGGAGCTGGCTGCCGTAAGCCCTTAAGGAGAGGAAAGTGAAGAAAAAGAAAGTAACATTCAATGGTACATATTAAAATACTGAAAAAATGGCAGCTTTAAAGAACAATTCAATATGCTGCGACTAAAATTCCTCCAAAAACTTTATAACATGAAAAAGAAAAACATCCCAAAGTGACAAGTGAAAGTTGCAACCTTTTACAAAATGGGTAAATCATGGCATGAAAACTAAATGTCTTCTTGGTAATTTCAGAGTAAGACTGAGCAATCCGGCTGGGAATCTAAGTGCAGTTCCAATGAACTGGGTCCAGAATGCAGCATGGCAGAACAGCCAACCCCATACCATGTAACAAAATCGCCAAGGTTCACAAGTGCATTTTCATGCCACTTAAACTAGGCGACTAGGAAGGTAAACAGCTCTTTTATTAAGTATAATTATCACTGTGTAATGCTTTACACTATAAATATTTTCTAATGTGCCTAACAGCCCTGTGAGGCAAGTTTTACTATAGTTAGCATCCTCAATTTAAAGATGAGGAAAATGAGGTTCAGAGAAGTTGTATGTATTGTATGCAGTTACTCAGAGGCAAAGCTGAAATAAGAATGCAGGTATAATCATTTCTCTATACGTGGCTTCACTTAAGAGTTTTTGTTAAATTTATTCCCAAGTATTTTACTCCATTTGATGCTATTGTGAGTTAAACTGTTTTCTTAATATTATTTTTGGATTATTCCTTGCTGGTATATAGAAGTGCAATTGATTTGTGTGTGTGTGTGTGTGTGTGTGTGTGTGTGGTGTGTGTGTGTGTGTAATTGCAATTGATTTCTGTATACTGATCTTATATCCTGTGACTTTGCTAAATGCAATTATTAGTTCTAGTAGTTGTTGTTGTTGTTGTTGCTAGGATGTCCTTAGGATTTTCTACATATGAGATCATATCATCTCTGAATAAAGACAGTTTTACTTATTCCTCTCCAATCTGGATCTCTTTTATTTCCTTTTATTACCTCTATTACATTGGTTAGGAACTTCTAGTACAACACCAAATTGAAGTGGCAAGGACAGATATCCTTGCCTTGTTCCCAAGGAATTAGTGGGGGAAGATGCAGTGTTTCACCATGAAGTATGATGTTAACTGTATGTTTTCTGTAGATGCCCTTTATCAGGTTGAAGAATCTCCCTTCTTTCTGCAGTTCATTGAAAGTTTTTATAATAAGCGGGTGTTGAATTTTGTCAAATACTTTTTCTGCTTCTATTGAAACTATCATATTTTGCTTTTTCCTTAATTTTATTAATTATAGTGTATTCTATTAATTGATTTTAGGATGTAAAATTAACCCTGCATTCCTAAGCAAAACCCCTGTTGGTCATGTTGTATAAACATTTTAGTATGCTCCTGGATTCAACCTGATAATATATTGTTAAGGATTTTTGCATCTAAGTTTGTGAGAGATTTTGAACTGTGGTTTTCTTATTATGTTTTCATCTGGCTTTGATATCTGTCTCATAAAATGGGTTGGGAAAGCCTGGCTAGTTAGCTCAGTTGGTTAGACAATGGTGCTGATAACACCAAGGTCCAAGGTTCGATCCCTGTACTGACCAGCCTGCAAGGGGAACTGAATCCTTGACCTTGGTATTACAAGGCCATGTGCTAACAAACTGAGCTAACTGGCCAGCCCAGGATAGATTTTTTAAATTGTATTTTAACGTTAAAACATTTATTTTAAAAATCACTTAAATAAGTTTAGCTTAAGGCATATTAAAGATATAATTAAAACACTCATCGTTAGAAGATGTGTGTGTATGTGTGTTACCTTCTTTGGAACACTTTTAAAAAGATAGAACAATAGACCAAGGACCCTAATGTGCAATTTTTTGAAGTTAGCAGAGATTTCTCTACATATTAAATTAGAGAATACAGTTTATCCTCTAAAAGTTAGTACACAGATACTCAACAATAATTTGTATTTCTAAAAGTAATCACTTATTCATAAAGTAATACATATTCTATGATTCCATCTATATGAAGGTCAAAAACAGGAAACCAATCTATGGTGAATAGAAACTAGAAGACAAAGAAGAAATCTGGGGAAAGAAGATATCAACTAGCAAGAGGCATGAGGAAGTCTTCTAGGGGTACTGGTGATTACATTGATATACACATATGTAAGCATTTATTGGAATGTACCTAAGGTTTGTGTGCTTTACTGTATTAAGTTATAAAGAAATAAAATATATTCAGCAATAAAAAGGAATGAAGTACCAATACATACAACAACATGGATGAACCTTGAAAACATTATGCTAAGTAAAATAAGCTAGCCACAAAAAACCACATATTGTATTATTCAATTTATGTGCAATGTCCAAAATAGACAAATAAATAGACAGAAAATATGTTAGTGGCTATCTTGGGCTGGGAGGATTTGGGGAAATAGGGAGTGACTGCTAATGGGGTATGGGGTTTCTCTTTGGAGTGATGGAAATGTTCTAAAATGGATTGTGATGATGGTTGTGAAACTCTGTGAATATACTAAAAACCATTGAATTATATACACTTTAAATGGATATATGAATTATATCTCAATAAAGCTCTTATATTATATATATATATATGAAACAAAATTTTTAAATAATACTTATAAACAATCATAGATGTGGATAAAAGACCAGTGCTACTGTCTTTATGAAAGTTAATGTCAATGATGTGCCAGAGCTGGTTGTTAAAGATACAGGAATTTTGTGGGCTGGTTATTAAACCACTGGTAGCTTGAAATAAGCTACAGAAATCAGCAAATGCTACATATCAGAATTGTTTTCTTCCTTCAGTGAGCCAGTTTACTAGGACATCAGTGGTTAGTATGCATTCTTAGAAAGAGATCAGTTCATAGAGAAAAGTAAATGGACTTATGGATTTTTCCATTAATGTTGAAGCAAGAGTAGAAAGGGTGACAGATAAAAGATTGTGTGAAGGAAGAATAGTTAGGACATGGTAAAAAGAAAAACATGTTGTCACTTGAGAAAGAGAGGAGTTCACAATACCTGAGTTCTTATCTAAGGAAAATACAATTATGGTACCATTAGAAGGAACTGAGAAGTTTAAAAAACAAAGGAGTTAATTCCTGGATAACAAATTTATCCTGAGTTTGGGAGATCCAATCAAGATGGCAGAATAGATGGTCCACAGCGTCACTCTCTCCCACAAATCAACCAATTTACAGCGATAAAAATGTAACATCAGCCAAGCTGGGACCGCTGGAGCTCAGTGGAAAAGGAGGAGAGATCTATGGAGTTCATGAAGGCAGGAGAAACTATGATAAGAGAAAGAAAAAGCTGCTCTGAGCATTTCGGGCCGCAGCTGCTTTAAGGTTCGAGCTGATGCGCACATGGAGCAGGAGCTGGCAGAAGCCGCAGCTGTGCCCTTCAGATGGAGTTACTTGGAGGCGGCAGGGGAGAAGAGGGCCTTGGTGGCCCCAGGACAGCAAAACCACTAATAGGGTTCCCGTGGACCCACACAGGAGCGAGGAGCCAGAACAACTGAAAAAAGGGAGCCATTCAGAGGCCGGTGAGTCATTGCAGGGCCTGTCCCATGGGAAGTGTTTGCAGCACGGGCGGTGAGGGAGACAGGCCCACCAGGCGAACACTGGGGCACAGCAAGGGCAGCGGATCTGCCCCCCAATCAGCACAGGACCACTCAGAGGAGACTGGTCGGGAATGCAGAATTGTATGGGGTGCAGTTTGATGAAAAAAACTCAGGCCCAGATCAGAGATTCTACAGAACACAGATCCGCCGGGTCTCTGGAGAGCTGGAAGTACCAGTAAGATCAACCATTAAACCCTGAGCTGCACAAAAAGCCTTCCCTAGGGAAACAGCAGCAAAGTAGCAATTTAAACAACCACACAGCTCAACCACAGGAAGTTCCCCCGTGTTAAAAGCAAAGGACAAAAAATTAGTTCCGGGCCAGGCACACCACCATCACCTTGGGGCCTGCCTGGGAACTGCAGGCTTGGATCTGGGGCCCAGACCCCACTCCCACTTGACCTCAGGGCCAGCCTGGGGACCTGAAACATGGAGAAGGGGACTGGACCCCCCCTCCCACAACCAGGCACACCACACCAGCACCTTGGGGCCTGGCCGGGAACCTGAGGCAAGGAGAAGGGGAACCGACCTCTCTCCCACAACCAGGCACACTGAGCCAGCGCTTCAGGGCCCACCCAGGGACCTGAGGCATGGAGAAAGGGACTGGACCTCTCTCCCACAACCAGGCACACAACGCCAGCACCTTGGACAGGGGCACAGGACATGGAGAAGGGGACCGGACCTCTCTCCCACAATCAGGCACATTGAACCAGCGCCTTGGGCCCACCCAGGGACCCGGAGTATGGAGTTGGGGACTGGACCTCTCTCCCACAACCAGGCACACAACACCAGCACCTTGGGGTCCGCCCAGGGACCCAGGACATGGAGAAGGGAACCAGACCTCTCTCTCACAATCAGGCACATTGAACCAGTGCCTTGGGCCCACCCAGGGACCCGGGGTATGGAGTTGGGGACTGGATCTCTCTCCCACAACCAGACACAACATACCAGCAACTCAGAGCCCACCCAGGGAATCGGGGCAAGGAGAAGGGGAACGGTCCTCTCTCCCACAATGAGGCACACTGTGCCAGTGCTTCAGGGACCACACAGGGACCTGAGGCATGGAGTAGGGGACTGGACCTCTCTCCCACAACCAGGCACACCAAGCCAGCACCGCAGGGCCCACCCACAATCCCAGGGCATGGAGAAGGGGACCGGACCACCCTCCCACAACCAGGCACACCATGCCAGCACCTTGGGGCCTACCAGGACCCGAGGCAAGGAGAAAGGAAACAGACCTCTTTCCCACAACCAGGCACACAGAGCCAGCGCTTCAGGGCCCACCTGGGGACCTGAGGCATGGAGAAGGGGACTGGACCTCTCTCCCACAACCAGGAACACCAAGCCAGCACCGTGGGTCTCACCCAGGAACCCAGGGCATG